TAAAACTGCACTTAAAGGACACACGAATGTTTCACACTCCTCATCAGTCATCTGCTCCAGCTCTCCCCGAGCAGAATTCACATGTGCGATTGCCACCGGGCCTGAGAGGGCCTGAGCACTTCTGGCATAATTCCAGTTGTGCTTCGACCTCGCTCTCGACAATTTTTGAATAACTAATGAAGGTGCCAGAAAAACAACAACCTAAACAATAACAGAGCAGCAACAACTGCAAGAGGGTTAAACATTGTGTCGAGACTCGAGTTCCCGGCCTGAATATGAAATTTGGATTTTCATCCAACTGTCGACATTCATCTTGCCAACTGTCTGTCCAACTGGTTGGCATTAGGCAGGCTGTCTGTCTGTCTGTCTGTCCTTTGTCCAAGACTTGTGCGTCATTGTCAAAATATTAACAGCTGGCACATTCCAAGTCCAAAGCTCTCCTCTCATACTCATGTGAGCGCTTAAGCCTGGCCCTGGATGAGGCTGATGATGAAAAATAGGAATTTAACTATTTTGAAATATATATTTTGGCAAATAAATTTGTGAGCATGCGACTGGCAATGTGGGTCAAGGCGGTCAGGGTAAATCCTTTTTGATTTGGACTCATTTTCCTCTGCAAAGCGTTTGCATATCTTTTCCTTTGGCCAGCAGCTGTCAGAAGTACATAAATCTTTGATAATGTTTAAACACCATTGTCTAACTTCAGACTGCTCTACAGATTAAAAGCTTTAATCTGCTCAAGCATCTATAAAAATTAAAAATTAGTTTTAAGAATCATCACTAATTGAGTGCAGTTAAAGCACAAGAGAACTTGTTCGTATATTTCCCAACAACCTTTTAGGTAAATATAGCTTCATAGACTGCCAGCATTTGTATGCTAAATGGGGAAATCATTTACAGGAAACGAATTGAAAAGAACAGACACAAACCCCCGTCGAATGCAATTCCACTCAGAAGTATCGAAGTATCGATTTCCATGAGTGCACAGGATGCAAGTGGCGGAAGAAAGAGACAAGGGACGAGGGAGACATATACTTGGGGTGTCGTCTGCTTCATATGGGGAAATTCTAAATAAATTTGCTTTTGAGTAAATTAAAAACAAACAGCAAAATCAAATATTAATGTTCCGTAACGCGATATCCAAAGGGTGCTTCACTCTGATCATTGTGGACAAGTGGAGCTCTGATTCCGATGCTGATTCTGATTCTGACTCGGTTGTTGACTGGCGTTGAGTAAACAGCGTCATTTAGAAAAATCAATCGAATGCGCTCTTTGTTTGCCTATCAAACGAACGAAACAACGCAAAAATTGTCATTTAGTCACTTTCAGACAAAGATTTATTTTCATTTTTAGCTCAGCCTCGAACTGTCCCCATAGCAAGGCCTCAAAAACTCCAAATAGAGTCGTCTCCATCTACATCTGCATCCTCGTTAGTCTGACGCGGCACAAAAACCGTTTTTGGTATTCAAATGTTATTTTTGGCGCAACATTTGTGGAATTTTTCTGATGCCCCAGCAAAGAGAGACGAAAAACCGTGTGAAAAACGGAAGTGTTTTCCCGTTTGTTGTTGTTCTTGTTGCTGTTGACACCGAAATGCTTGGAAAACGCTTTGAGCGACCGCAGCTACGAAACGCCTTCAAACTTTTCGCTAAATTGTTTGTTTTTTTATTGCCCAACTGAAACCGGAAAAGGATTCGTGTTTGTTACGGATTCATGCAAAACACCAACGGGCGGTCCTCAAAGGGTTAAAAACAAAACTCCAAAAGCGGAAAATATGCGAGTTGATGTGCCCTTTGGCTGCTCAACCATTGAGTGTTTCCCTAATTTCTGTGAGTGCTTCGCAAAGGAGGCGTGACAGAACGAAAAAGCGAATGGAAACATAAAATTTGATATTATAGGTAGTTAGTGCTAGCTCCTCTATGAGGTGAATGCATCTGTGTTATGTATTCTAACAAACATTTCCCGAAACAGTGTAAGCCAGAGAAGTATGTGTATGCGTGCGTGTCGCTGCCAAGAGCATGATTCGAGAACCAAACAAATATTGCGAATCGGCAGGTGATGTAGTTCATGTTTAAGGCCTATGCTCAGCCTGAAGAGACCAAACAATTATTTCAATTAGTGAATCCGAGAACCAGAAATTTCTGCTGCCGCAGGTGCAATTAAATGTTAATCGATTGTGTTTGCAGTTTGGCATCTGGAGAGGGGGAGGACTTCGAAACGCCCACAGTCAGGTGCAGAGCATATTTTGTGTACTCACATGAGTGTGTGTGTAGGTGAGTGTGCAAAATCAACTGCAGCTGACTGTGAAGTTGCGAAGGTGGCGATGATGACCTTTTCTGGTTGCCTCCTCTTGTGGGTTGCTCTTGGTTTAAGTGTTGTCTGTTGCTTCGGCAATTCGGAGTTGTTGGACAGAGGCAGAGAATGAGAGGTTCTTTGTGTGTCAGATGCGTAATTAATTGTTAATAATTGGTCAACTGTCACATGCAAATAATTTATTTGACAAAGTCAATGTGAATGACCCCCAGAGAGGTATTTTCAATCGAAGAATTGGGTCTTTAATTCTCATAATTTATAGTTATTAATTCTATCTACTTCCAAATGTTGCATATTGCGTATACGCCCCGTTTCAGCTGCTGCTTATAATTGCCAGTTGGGATCAGTTTTAGCTTCTTTTCCGATATTTGCATGTCAAACGCGTGGTAATTTTATATTACTGCGACACTCGATACCGTCTCTGAGCCCTTCGCGTTGCTCGAACACATTATTTATGACTTGTACGTTTTCCGTGCTATTTTATAAACATTTTTCAAAATATGCTGCCCGTCCGCCAGAGAGGAAAGTGGCGGAGGCTGCAACTGCTTGCCGACATCATAAAAAAGGAACTCTACGCACCGACGCCTTTATGTTTTATTTATGAGCCCAAGCACGCCTACAAAAAGTTAACATAGGGCCCACAATGCGCGACGCGTTTTAATGTGACTCAAGAAGAGGGGAAAGTCTGGATAGGAGCGGGCTCTGCGAGAAGATGGCAACTTTTATAGAGGTAATTATTGCCGGGGCGAGTAACAGGCGAGCGAGATATATGCCTGAAATGTATCTGAAATCGATTTTCTTACATGCAGATTAAGCATTATCAACACTCATAAATAAACAGCAAAGGGTCAAGGGTTGAGTGCAGCTACCCAATGGCCCTTGAGTCGTTTTCCGTGGCAGTCCCCGCAGAGCTGCTTGCGGAAGCCACAAATCGCCGTTTAAATATTAATACATCAATCCACTTAATATGCGAGTTTGCAGCGAGGAATGATGCAATAAATATAAAAAAGGGAAAAACACAAAAGTAGAGAAGACCCAAAGATGATAAGCACATGCAGAAGTTGCCCTCACAAACACACACACATAAATCCAAAGCGCATTAAGAACTCTTCACTTTATGATGTGTTTTGTCGGCGATATGAAATGATATGATATGCTATCATAAACGAGAACACAACAAATGTGCATTAAAGCAACAGCTCAGCCTTGACAGGCTTCCCGTACTTATTTTTGCCTTTTTCAATCTGGCCACAAAGCAAACAAGATTCTTATAATATAAGACAAAACAAATTTTGGTATAAGCGCGCACTTCCTGCAGCCTCTCCTTGGAGATGTGGCACAAAGGAAGTGCTCCGCTTGTTTATTTCTGCAACTTGTAATGCAAACAAAAACTTCTATTTCCGAAAAGTCGCCACAGCCAAAATAATGGCATGGACACAATTTTGGGTTGTTTTTCGAGGGCGTAAAAGGCAATGATGGGAAATTTAGTTGTCCAGCGAATTCGTTGAGTTGCTAGTCAAAGATTGCGCACAATTTTGTTGGGTATGCGCTTGTGCGTTATGATTGCACAAGCTGCACAAATATGCAGTCCACGCCCACAGTCAGTATATTAAACTGCCTGCCCACAGAGCTGCAACTGACATAATTACGTATGCAGAATATTTAAATGCAGTGTGCAAATGCAACTGTCTGGCATAACTCTGAGAACGGACTGGACAGCAGGCGGGATGTGATTATAGAACACAAAACTAAAACTAAAAGCTTGTTTACATTTTTTGCAGTAGATTAATATTTTGAGCTTTTAAAGGGGCCTTTTGAGTTTTGTTTTCACTAATTTAAACAGTTTTGAAGAATTTTATAGTTGGTGCAAGCCCAAGAAAAAATTATTGTCCAAGGTTCGAAACAATGCCCGACCTCTCGTCTGCATTCTTACTTACAATTTACTTACTTACAAACTTACAATTGCCCGTCGTGCAGGAAATATGGCAAACGTACATATTTTCTAATACAAAATGCGGGCTACATTTAATCCCTGCCCAAAATTATCATCTACCAAATATGGTTAGATAAATGAAATGCTTCGGGTATACTTTAAACATTTTATTTTATAACCTAGACAGCTGTTGCGCAGATTTTAACGTTTATCTGGTTCGTCTGCTGCCGCTCGCCGTGCTTGCAAATCCAATTCAAGTTCAAGGGGGTGACTTGTAGGCCTAATGCCTAATGGCCCAACACAGCCAACAACAACAGTCAGCGCCGCTCTTTGTATTAATTTGTGCACACATTCTTGGCCAATGAGATTTATGCGCTGCGTATTAGGTTTTTTTTCTCTTGTGTTGTAGTTGTTGTTGGGACACCCACAAAGCAGACGCTCGTTCCACCCACACAAATACACACATCCACACGTATTGTCACTACGTTGCCAGTTGGGAGCGATGTTCGAAAAAGGCGCGAATGTTTATTTTCCTTTTTTTTTTTGTTGTTTTCCTTTGCAACGCACGTGTTTCGTTCGAAAACGGCGACGCAGGCGCAGCAACAACAACAACTTGAGCGAAACTCGAAACTTGACGAAAGACGAGCACGAGCAGCGCAGCCGAAGCCGAAGCGAACTTCGGCTGCGCCGGCCGAATGCTGCGGCATTGGCTGCCAATGAAGCGAGGCATCGAGCCATCAGTTCGACTCGAAACTGCGCCGGAAGTGGACGCCAAACGTGGCCGTGTTAAGCAACAACAACAACGACATCGACAACATAAAAAGTGCCGTTCTGTGTGTTGGCAACAACTGTGTTCGCGTGTTGATGCTGCATGTAATGGCCATAAAGTAATTAAATTAAAATTTAATTAAATAATTAAAGGCTTATCAAATGCTCGTGACAAATTTAACTTAACATTAAAAGTGTTTAATTGTGCTGCGATAAAACGTGGCCAGAACGTAAATGCCGCTTGGTTAATCCTACCTGAACTTCACTTTGTAATTTCCATGGGCGAAAATTCATTAAAAAAAATAAAACATACAACTACAAATTCCCCTCATGAAGCTCCGCCCGCGCACATAAATTTCACGGCAATCAGCCAACAGCACGGACAACACCGGCAGCCGCGTTGCAAGTCATCTAAACTTCATTTGTTGCGCTGCGGCTGCTTATGCAGCAGCTCCTTATTCAAAGACTCCGCTTTGTTTCATCCTGCTGCCTGCTGCCTGCTGGCCGGGTTGAAATATTGCTTTCATTATTTATGTTAAGTTTATGCAACATTCTCTACGCTTTTGCCTGATGTTCTTCCTGCTGCTGTTGCACTTTGGCGCACTTGTTTTTAATATCCTTCAGCTTGTAAAGGCATTACGGCTCGTGCCACAAAACTTTCAGCGGTAACTGCAGACCCAGCACACTGATCCAAATTACGCGGCAATGGTTTTTCTATCATTTGCCTCGTTAGAGCAGTCTCCGTTGGTTTCTTCTTGTCGCACTCCCCACCGCCGTAGGACATCAGCTGTCTGCTTCAATTCTTGGTCTAATGCAGCAGGAGTTATTGATAGCTATGCATAAATAAAAACAACTGCTTACACTTTGAAGCAAGAAGGATTTGTTTTTCATTTATTGATTGAGCGTTGGAAATAAATCAAATCCTGAGTTATTGAAAAGTGTAATATAATCTTTTCCGTACATTTCGCTAAAGTGTGGATTGTGTCCTGATTGAAACGCGGATTGATGTTTAGTTATGACTGGTTCTAGAAGAAATTGTGATAGTTTGATGCAAAAGAAAATTCTCATAAATAAATAAGCCAACAAGCAAACAGACACTTAACGAGGCGAAAACTAAACAACGCTGTTTTAACTATTTATGAAAGTTTAAAAGGCTGAAAGTTGTGCTGTCTGGTAAAGTGTCATAACAACGCATTAGACCACATACATTATTAAACAATATCCTTTTGATATTCCATAAATATAAAAAATTCTCTACAACTAGCAAGCACAAAGTCTCAATTGTTCAAATGGACCGCAAAACTGCTTTTGGCTTGCTTTTTTTTAAGCTACTTATGAGCTCTTCCTCTCCAGCCCAAATGCAAACAGCCAAAGGGCGCTTTCTGGTATTGTTTTGTATGTCCTCCATTTTGAACAAAAGATGCTTCTAATAGCCAAAATAAGCTAATTAGCGGTACAAGGCAAAAATTGCTAAAAAGCAGCAAATGAAAAATAAAAAACAAAACAACAAATTGGCATAAAAAATGCCAAATAAAAATGCCTTTGTTTATTTGGGATGGCAATTATAATGTTGACTGGGGGTGTTTTTTTTTTTTTAATGTCTTTTGTTCTGCTCTTGCATACGAATTAACTTCTTAATGTTCATTAACTTGTTGGGGCATCATCATGTCAAATGTATATGTACATGTATTCTCATATGCATGCGGAGTACACTCCTTTTTTTTCGTACAGGAATTTTTGGTTGGCTTGAAACATGACTTTAATGCACTTTCTCTACTGCAGCATTGTGGTGGCTGCTGCTGATGCTGCTGCATTATCCATTATCCGTTCTCTCTGCCGTCACGCTGTCAGCCGCGATTCCATTTGCACTGGCTGCTGTCAGCTAGCTGCCTATCCGTCCGTCCGTCTGTCTGTCTGTCTGTCTGTCTATCTGTCTTTCTGTGCCACCACTCAAGATGCAGTCGAGATGACAGCCTTTGGATGCCATTTCTTTGCTCCAGCTCGGGCATAATTTACATTGTGCGAATGGAATTGAAAATTTCACACACACAAAAAAATGCATTTGTGGCATGAAGCTTTTATTTTTTTCTTTTGCATATATAAAAGTTGGCTTGGTTCATTTATTTATGTCAGGCACTTGGGTTGTGATTTTTAGCTTTGTTCATTTGTTTTCAAACTGATTGCATCATAATTACCCAACTGACGTACCGATTTTATGCGCTTGCCTCCGCCCCCTGCGCTCCTAAGTGCTTTTTAACGAGCTGCTGCTGTTGCTGCTGCCGCTGCTGCTGTTGCTGCTTCTCATGCTTTGTTCGTCCATTTGGATATTTGGGTTCCATTCCTGTGCGCTACATGGCCGAAAATAAATGCTGTAATTTCCAGCCATGTGCGTTTCTCTGATTTTGTCGCTATAATCTGGTACATGAACCCATAATTTGTAATTTCAACCTAATTACTTTGCCTGCTGCCAGCGTGTGTGTGTGTGTGTGTGGTTGTGGGCTGGCCAGGGGGGCGTGACGGAGCCAAAAACATTGTCGTCAGCCATAAAATGTCAGCAGCAAGCAACAAAACGCCCATTTCGGCAGCAGCAGACTTCACATGCACACACACACACACACACACACACACACACACACACACACACACACACACGTACGCACGCCCAGCCACGCCCCCTCATTCAGTCATGTGTGGCCAGTACATGTATTTGTGGCTGCCGCATTGCTAGCTGCTGAAATTTGTGGCGCGACATATGTAAATTTCTGACAGCTGTTTGGAGGTCATTGAAATTGATTTTTAGTTGCATTGCTTTGTTTTATTTTTTTTTGTTTCAATCCAAGTAAAGGATTTTAAATATAAGTTTGCATATAATGGGTATCTAAATTACCTATTGCAGGGCTAGAACGAAAGTAGAGTTGATGGCTTGATAAGTTAAATGGAAAATACACAAAAAATAGAATGTATTTTGTGATAGCTGAGCTAAAATGCTTATGATCAATTTGATTTAGATCATCTAAAATGGAGGGATATAAAAATTTTAAACAAAAACAAATCGAAAGTAAAAAATTTGATAAAAGGGTCTAAACTCATAAGATAGGGAGACAAACTACTATAATTCTTCAATGTTGATAAGATTACAAAATAGACTTGAAGCAAGCAGGTTAAGCAAATAACAAGGGAGTAGATCCTTTTATATATAAAATGAAAGTTTTCCCATTAAAAATAATTGTTCGCTTTAAATTTCGCTGCCTACTTTTCGGCGCAGCATCTGAAGCCTACAATTTACATATTTTAACTGTCAGTACGCGCAATTAAACATTTTAAAAACACATTTCATTTCCAATTTTATTAATTTATTGCAGCATTTTAACATTAAATACTATTATTATTGTTTTCTTTTATTACATTTGGAGAGAGTTAAAAAATCGGCCAGCAAAAGAAAAATCCATTGTTCTATACAATGTCAATTATATTTAATGCAAGCGATTTTCATAAAGCTATCTTCTGTGAAATTTTTATAAAAGTTACATACAATATATATATATATATATTTAAATGCACGTTTCGATAAAAACTGAGATGAACTCCACGTGCACGACATGAGGCCTGTTTGTTGTTTACATTTTTATTTTATTTTACTATGTAAATGTTATGCCAGGCGCAGTTTTAAATACTTTGAAAACAGTCGCAAGCAAAAAAAAAAAAAAAAAAAAAAAACAAAATGAAAAGTATTATACGATTATTCGTTTTATTATTAAATGCAAACGCATAAATATTTAAGCCAAGCGAAACTGACGACAAAAAGCGGCAGTTAAATCAAATATTAATGTCTTGATGCGACAACTGGAGTGGCGGCAGTGGCATATAACAGCAGGGGGCGCGGCACAGGATGCTGATATGTCATGTGCATTCATAAATCATTTGGCAAAATTGAACTGGCCAAGTCACAGTGCGCCACAAAACCCAAACGTATCAGTCAGTTAAAGTGCATTTAAGCGAATAAACGTAAAGACAGTGTGTATGCAATGCCAGTTGCTTAAACGAAGTATAAATACTCTTTTTTGAAACAGTTATCTATACGATTTGTTCCGCTTCTCACTTATCCTCTTTCTCTGTACGACTGGCCCCATGGCCACTTTAAATTAAGTTCTAAATACTCTTTTTTTTTTAAAGTAAGTGCATTATTGAGTTATCTTCCAATGTCAGTTTGAATAAAACCTTGTTATTTGAGGTCTTAGCCCTAAGCATACAGCCTGTTTCTGAATTGAGTTTTAAATTGTCCTCCATTATCAATTTAGTTCGACAAACGCTGAGCGATTTTCTGTCAGTCTTTTACAGCAATAAGTCGTTCCTGTTAAAAGTAACTACTCAGCCGCATTGGGCCTCGATTGTCGCCTCTTTACTCTGTCGTATTAATCCTTTATTGTCACTTAAGTTTATGAACCCAGAGCAATTACATATTAGTCGCATTGGTCCTTCATTGTTACTTTAAGCCATTTTCATTATTTAGAGCCGTTTCCATTAAATAGATCTCTCCAAAAGTGTTTGTATAAATCGAATGTAGTAGTCATTATGCCCTCGTAAAGCGTGTAAATGTACAACAATAAGAGATGGCAGCGAAACGAAATGTAACAATTCATGCGCAATGAAAATGTGGCCATGTTATGACAACGACAGCCGCAGCAACAACAACATCTGCAATAAAGGCAACAATAACAACAATAACAACAGTAGCAGCAGCAGCAAAAACAACAACAACTGAAATGCGTATTGGTCATAAAATAGCAACATCAATGCAATGCATTCATTCACTCTGGTCCGGAATACAGCGCTATTAATAATAAATGTAGCACTGGTTACGCACACACACACGCAGACACACACACATGCGTGCAGTCACACACACAGCAGTCAAATGAACTTTGCAAACCGAAATTCCCGACAATAGCAAAAACAACAAGTTACCAACGAGTCATAACCCATAAAGCCCAACAGCTACAATGGGTGGGTTTGTTGTTGTTGCTTTTGTAGTAGTCACACATGCACACACACACATGCACACATAAAACATTGTAAAGACCATCCACACACACGGCAACAACATAAACAACACGAATTGAGTATGCGAGTGCCATAATAATAATAAATGCTATAATCCCTGAAATCGTTTGCGCCTCTGCGAACACCTCCTGAACACGCCCCGCACAGTCTTCTCACCAATCCAGTGTATGCATTTTTTATTTTCAATTTTCATTGTTTCGTCTCCAGCAACAACGAGAACAGCAGCAGCAACAACAACAACAACGACAACAATCAGCGCATCAAGTGAATTAAGCGATTTTTAAAGCTTTACGCTAAATGAAATTTGAATTGCCGTTCAACGAATACACGAAATACACGAAAGTGTTCACTTGTGTGTGCAAATTAAATTACGCAAATCAAATAAATGTTAAAAAAAACCAATGCAACAAAAACCCACAAAACAAATGTATAAAATGCATGGGAAATAAAAGTAAACCTGCAAATGGAAATTGCTGTGAAAAACTAAACCAACAGAAATATAAATAAAAAAAATAAAAAGGAAAGTCGCGTAATTAAACGAATATATATTAAAGTATATATTCTCTCTGCGCATGTGTATGTGTGCGTGTGTATGTGTGTGTATTTAACTAATTCTAATTAAACGCACAAATTGCAATACACAAAATGTTTATAATCACGGTAATTAAACTTTTGCTAATTGCGCTCAACATATTTCCAAGCCGTTTTACAAATCGGCGGATTATGTTTCTCATCTATATGACGAATCTAGTGACACATGGTAAGTTCTTTGAATTGATTTAAAAAATTTAACCAGCTTTTAAAAAAATAAGTAGCTTACAGAAAAAATTATCATAAACAGACTTTGCTTTGAAGCTTTAACTTGTTGCGAACTGCAAGCGTCAAGATTGCATGACAAGCAAAGCTTTGAACTGAGATTTGTTATTGGTAGGGTTTTAAGTCACAAATTGCTTGCATTTTTGTAGATTTTTATATAATTTGATTTATTTTTTCGTAGATATGTTTTTAATAAAGAAAAACAACAATTATCTAGGTTCATTTATTATTAAATTTCCCCAATTATGTAAATGAATATATTTAAGTCAGTTTTATTTTAAAGCACAGCTGCAAAATATTGCCCCAACCCATCCAATTATTTTATCAATTTTATATTTGCTTAGATTTCAACGAAGAGCTGCGCGCTATTTGAACAAAGCATTCCGGACAGTGAAAGGTGTTGGGTGTCGAAACTGTCGACTCGGAGTCGGAGTCAAGTCGAGTCGAGTAGTCATAATTTAATTAGTAAAATGAGACCTCAAATTGCCCGAGACGACGATGGCATCAAGCGGCTAGCTTGCATTCAATTTCAATGCCAGGTCCGTGTCCGTGTCCATGTTCGTGTTCGTGTTCGTGTTGCTCGCATGTGCCAGGTGCAATGTTGGCATGCGGGCCGCCAACTGCGTGTTGCAGATAACAAGGTCCGCTCCAACAGCACCGTGGTTGCACAGTTGCTGTGGCAATGGGGGCACATCGTGGCAGGCATCCACTTGCCGTGCTTAACAGCCTGGCTGGTGTTTTGCTTTTGTGCGCCATTTCCGTGGCAAAAAAAAAAAACAGCACACGAAATGAATGCATAGAAAAACAAAAGTGCCATCGCAACAGCAACAACAACCAAGGACGTCCGCAATGCCTCAACAGGCTGCGGTAGCCGCTACGGACTACCGACTACGTGCCGACAACAGCTCCGGCTCCCGGCTCCCGGCTAGATAAAAAACGAAATACGAACAAAAAAAAGAAAGAATAAAAACACACTGCTTTGTTAAATTATTTCATAATGACACTAACGCAGCCGTTGATTATATTTGGCCTGCGGGTCATGGAATTCCGGCAGCAGCTGCTGCTGTTGCAGTTGCAGAAACGCGCAGCATCTACATATATTTGCATTGGATTCTATGACTTTTTTATGCAGCTGGCCAAGCTTTATATATAATTAATATGTTTGATTTACGCAACTATCTTCCTACGGGAACTATTCAAAAATATGTGCCCCAAAAAGTATGCTTCAATCATTTTTGTGCAGCTTTTTAGGGAGCATAGTTTGACTTTGATTTCTGGGCATCTTTTCCATACAATATAAACTCTAATTGAAAAAGTTTGTTCTTCACATTTATAGTTTTTCATGCCTCTCTATTTTTAGTTTTCTCTGTTAGGGTATATTTCCCTTCGGTTATTTGCATACCGCAAACCATATTATTTAGCTGCATCTGCTGCTCATTAGCTAACCGAGTTGTCTATTCCCCTCTTCATTCACAGTTATGATGGATGAGCCCCGCTTTGCGCAGCCCATACCAAATGTCACCGTTGCCGTTGGTCGTGATGCCAATCTGCCCTGTGTGGTCGAGCATTTGGGCGGCTACAAGGTGAGTGGGGTATTGGTGTAAATGGGAGATGGGCGGCATTTCCAGAGTGTCATAAATCGTGCGTACAATGAACGGCGCGCATCACAATGAAGTTTCAAGCTGGCGACACTGTCTAAAATCAATTTTGTGAATTGCTCTGACGCTGTGTGTCTGAGTGTCTGAGTGTGTGCGTGTGTGTTTTTGTGTGGGTGTGAGCTGAATTGACAGCCAGAAACAGAGACAGACATGTGCTGTTCTGTCTATGACAAGTTGTTGGCCTGGGCACAGTGATAGAGTACACTGTTGAGTGACTGCTTTCGAGTCTATGGCAATTTTCTCTATTTGAATTTATCGGGCAACTGATAAAAAAGAAGTCTTCACATCAACTAAATCAACAGTTTGAAAACTTCGGGCACAAAAACTAATAACCCAAACGTCTTGCACCCTCGACCACGCCAGCGGAGGGTGCATTGTGTGAACCCAACAAAATGACGAGCAAATCACTTATCATTTATCTCAGTTGCGCGCGCTCATAACAAATCACAAATATTTACTCGCCATATCAACTTTATATAAAACGCTGCCCTGCGCTAGCGCTTGCTGTCTGCTGCCTGCTGCTTGTCCTCGTCACTGGACATGCGAGGAGTACAAGGCGCCAAGTCTCTGTCTCAGGCAGCTTCTTCTATCTGGCTCTTATTGGACTTTCATCAACATTGGTTGCCAAGGAGCGGGCTGCTGCTGCTGAAAACGAGAAACTCATTGCTGTCACTGGGCAGAAAGTAAATTTGAAAAGTTTGCAGCGAGGGCGGCATGGCTGCAAAATCCTTGCCGGGACATGAACTGTCCTTGTGTCACACGCAATGTAAGCAAACGAAGCCAAACTGATGCGGCTAGCACAAAAAAAAAATTGTATTAAAAAAGCGGAAACAGCTGTCAAGTTGGCTTTTTTCTTTTTCTTAGCCACACTCATGCGTCACAACAAGGCGTTCATTTATTATAACTACAGCTCTGTGTGAGAGTGTGTGTGTGTGTGTGTGTGTGTGTGGTTGAACTTAGCTATGTGTGCAGCACAGTTGAATATCGATTGGCTTGTCCTTTGTAGGTGGCCTGGATACACATTGATCGCCAGATGATACTCACCATACACCGCCATGTCATCTCGCGCATACCACGCTACAGCATCACCTATGCGGACAACACGTGGCTGCTGCACGTCAATCAGGCGCATCAGGACGATCGCGGCTATTATATGTGCCAGGTCAACACCAATCCCATGATTAGCCAGGTTGGCTATCTGCAGGTGGTGGGTAAGTGCTGCAGTTAAAGCCAACAGCCTAAGCTGTATACTCTAGTCATATATATCCCTCTCGTCTCATTGCAGTGCCACCCAACATACTGGACATTGAGAGCACCCCATCTTCGGTGGCAGTGCGTGAAAATCAAAATATCAATATGACATGTCGCGCCGATGGATTCCCAACGCCAAAAATCATATGGCGTCGAGAGGATGGCGAGGAAATTGCCGTAGAGAAAAAGAAAAAAGGTATGAGCGTGTCAAACTTTGATACGGGTTGCTTTAACAGTTAGACAATTGGAAAATAAATAGATTTGTTTTATTTCAAATGTTGACTGTAAATTACTATTATCCACAGAATTATTTTTAGTATAAGATAAATTTAAAAGCGAGCGATTTCCAGTTTTATTTGACAGTCGCTTTGACTAAGATTTACTTTGAATTATTATTTGCTGTAGAGATTAAATTTTTAAATTTCATATAAACTCTACATTTATTATTAGTCTTTAAATTTGTACAAGAATTTCTTTAATTTTTTTTTTTAAGTTTTTCTCCTACTGTAGTTTCGAAGCTGCCCACTCTTAGACACATTTCATTTTGCCGGTTTCTCATTGAAAATTCTCTATGCTCTGCACGTTTATTTCTATGGTGCGGACACTTCCTTCCGGGAAACATCAAAACCAACAACAATAACAGTTCTGGTGTACGATGGCGATATCCTGCCGCTGACCAAAGTGAGCCGCAACGAGATGGGCGCCTATCTGTGCATAGCCACCAACGGAGTGCCGCCCTCTGTCTCGAAGCGCATAATACTGGATGTAGAGTGTAAGTATTCCGCAATATAGACAAACATATAAGTGTGTGCACGAGTCGATTGACTTGAGCGAAATGAAAACTATATAAGTATATATACACACACAATACATGCACATATCGAAGCGGCGGCAGTTTACGTTCAGCTGGTCACATTATATTGCCGGGGCTGTAGCACGCGCGTGCACTTAACGAGAACGATGACAACGACTCGCAGAGACTCGCGATGGAGTGAGTATCTATGCGGCACATTCATCCATCTATATGGCCATTGAGGCAGTCTGGAGTCGTATACCTGCCGCTCATCAATTTAACTGCACGCTCGCTCGTCGCGCGGCCGTGACAAACGCAGCCAGCGACCTGGCTGGTTCCTGCTAATGCAGCTGATATATGATGGAGTCGAGCCGGGCGTTCATTTAAAGTTGTGCGGCTGTTGCTGTCTGCTGTCTGCTGGTTGCTGGTTGCTGGTTGATGCATGCTGTGTGCCAAGTAAACGCTTGTTAATCCTAACGAGTTTCTTCGCGCCACCCCTCCCAACCCACCTTAGGGCTGCCTCAGGCGGCCCACACATTGACAATAATTCACGTCACGTAGCTGCAATAAAGTCACTTGCCGGCATTGCACGTATGACTTTGACGGCATTTCCCTTCGTTTCGTTTCGTTTTTTTTTTTTTTTTTTTTTTTTTTTTAACCCACCACCGCCCCCATCTATTTTATTATGAACGTTTTTGTGCGTGGCCCTGTGCAAGGTAGTTAGGGGATGCGCGATCCGCCATGTTTTGAAATACAGGTAGGCGCATTGACGGGAGCGCGCTTAAATTTCCAACAAGCCGTTCGCTGTTTCAATTACGTGTTTGCATTGTGCACAAAACTGGGGCAAACTTTGGTAAATGCGCGAGAAAAACAGATACTTTAGCTGGATGGGGGCTTTGCCAAAGCTGTGTGTGGATATATTGATAGGGTAGATTTTGTGCAACAAAATTGATAGATATTGATTTATAATCGTCAATGGCGTAAATGCCATAATTTAAGGATTTTTTGTGGAGCTACTCAAAGTTATTAAATTGTCGCAATTTTTGTTATAACAAGAGCAAAACAGCAATAAACACGCTCGAAGCAGGTCTAGGTTTCAACATGGCAACATTTTTATATTAACTAGCTAGCTAGTTAGCTCTAAACCAGCCACTATGTTGGTACCAAAAATCCACAGCACGTAGTTCCTGCAAAACTCGTTTCTTCATCATTTTCTTCATTTCTATTTTTTAAGAGTCAGGCTGGCAACGTGTTGTCTCATTGCCAGGTCTCGTAGAAGTGTTTTTCAGCTTTGTCATTGCACTTTCATTTTAAGCTTGCCAGACAGACGACACACACATACACACATGGTGAAAATTGAGCAGCAGAAAAGCGAGACAGACACATATTGAACATACGTAATGCTGCAGTTTATGCGTACTTTGGCCAAACGCTTGAAATGCAACGCCACCTTGCCTAACGACATACGTGTATATGCATACATACATACACAGTTGCATACATATTTCTCGGTATTTCCATCTGGTATCATTCACTTTATCAACATTTCTCTACTTTCTCTGCCCCGCGCTTTATTCAGTCTCGCCAATGATTTGGGTGCCGAATCAACTTGTTGGCGCGCCAGCTGGCACAGATGTAACCATCGATTGCCACACCGAGGCTCATCCCAAGTGAGTTTTTCATTCATTTTAAAATATTTTTCTTTTTTAAATTGCGATATAGCATACATTTAAGCGTACTCTCCGTTTTTTTTTCTATCATTTTAACGGGCTTCTATTGCACCTGCAGCTGTTAGCTGATCTGCCTTTGATTTTGAAATGCACTTTGTTTTTCGTATTCTATGAAATCGCCCCCCTTTTCAAATATGATGAAAAATGGTTTTTGTTGCTTTTGTACTTTTCAGAGCCATCATCTATTGGGTATACAATTCTGTAATGGTATTGCCCAGCAAGAAATATAAGACCGACTACACAGAGAACTCGTATCGGTAAGTCAAATGAATGAAACTTTAACCCCGAAACACGCCCCTTCAAAATGGTGTTGTTAAATATTTATTATGCATTTGCTCTTGACTACAACATTGGCAGCTGCTGAGTCAGGAGCAAAAACACCAATGCATACTACATTTCATTGCATTTTCCCGAAAACGATTTCGCCTTCAAATCACATGTTACTCATTTCTTGTTTATTTGCCATTAAATTGAAATTTTAAAGCTCATATTAACGCTGTGCATTTTAAGCTTGTTTTCGAATTAATTAAAATATCGAAATGTGAAACATTTCAAATTTGCTTTTCTCTCAAATACAATGTGGCCTTTAAACAGTCAGCTTCGGAGTATTATTTATTGGCCTTTTGTCTGAAATCTTAAACTTTATGTATACAAAAATAAATAAATTCTGAGCTTATCTCTTTGCTATAAATTAATGGCGATATCGATTTGTGGAACACCTGCCGTTTGCTTATTTCATTTCCATATGTTTTCTCGCTCTAACTGCCTATTTTTAAAGCGCCCACATGAAACTGACGATAAGAAACCTACAATATGGCGACTTTGGCAACTATCGATGCATCTCAAAGAATTCTCTTGGGGAAACGGAAGGCTCCATACGTGTTTATGGTAAGTGCATTTGTATTGGTAGCTTAAGTGCACTAGTTGCAGCCAACATATAAGCACATAGACACACACACACACACACACACACACACACACACACAAATACATACCGAATGCAATATCGAGCGCCCTTTGTGGCACAATTTCGCCAAAAGCTTTTACCTATGTGCCGCTCCAGCTCCCACAAGCAGGCCGATTCCGAGCGGAGTCGAACTGCGGCTCGTCTAGCTCCGATATGTGCACTGTGCTCTGGAGCGTAAAACTAAACGAGAGGCCACCAACGGAGCTGAACTGCGTCTGCTTCTGACTCCGGGCTTGGGTTTACATTCGGACCTGCCAAACAAGCAGTAGCAGCAGCCACAGCAGGACACGTAGATACATTCACCATAAACGTAAACATAAAATAAAGGTGCATTCTGGAATTGTTTGACTTTGTATCGTGCACGCTGCAAAAACTCGTAGAGCCATTGAGCCTGGGAGCCTGGGTTACCTGCCTATGTGGGGTCGCACGTATCGTCTGTGTTTCTTTATATTTAGAGACTTTCATTTATTTATTTATTTTTTTATGCACTACAGAGCCGTAGCTGCGTTCGGGAATGAATGAATAAAGAAAAGGTCGCTGATGCTTTGATTGTGTCTGAGAAGGTCGTAACCTGATGATGTCGTTTATACCCTTTTAGAGGGTATTACAATTGTTTCATGAAATGTGTAACGCATAGTAGGAGACAAGTACAACTCCTAAAGTATATATATTCTAGATCAGCTTAGAGAGCCGAGGTAATATAGTCATGTCCATTTGATGGGCTGTCTTTTAATTTTTTGTATTTAATTAGGATCTTTGCATTAAACTCAGCACTTGCGACCTTCTCTATTCTCGCATATCTGCAAAACCGTAAGGCAAATGTTTGGCTAGGTTTGGCTAATATATGGGCCCTATAATACCTTAGCGGAGAGTGAAAGCAGATACGCATTTTGAGTTAAAATTCCTCTATTATTATCTTAATATCCCAGCTTTAATGCTAGAAGATTTTTCTGAGAGGTCAAAAGTACATTTCCATTATTTATTTATTAAAAAAAAAATATATATATATATAAAAAATTTAATTATAAATCCAATTAAATTGAATACATTTTCGCAACATCATGTTGACCCACATTTTATATATAATGTGGCTTATCAAGGCTTTATATGTATATGCATATGCTTTTAATTTATTTTCTTTAAGCTGCCTGCAACTTGAACGATTGAGTTCAAGAAGGAAATGGTGTGACCTTTCCACTGGCACCACTTGACACACAAAACCACAACGCAGCTGGCATATATTTTATGCAAATACACTTTATATACATATATATATATATATTTGTATACACACACACACACACAGACGGGCGCACACAAGGACTGAAATTAAAAACTCATTTGGTTGATTTTATCATAATTAATTATGCGATGCTATTCGATTCCGTTTTGTTTTACAGAGATACCTTTGCCATCAACACCATCCAAACAAGTAACACACACCACCGTCGAGTCCAGGGAGAGTAAGTATAGTATCAGACGAGCTGATGTTAGCGATATGTATTTGGGTGGAGTGGGGCCAGGGCCACGGCTGGAGCTAGGGCTGGAACTGGGGCCGGGGATAGATGCTCGCTTTTGTGCTTAACACATCCCGTGGAGCGTCGAGAGCGACGAGCGTTGCATAAACTGTGAAAGTCACACCGGCAAACCGACACTTACTCTGATCCACACCCACCCACACACAAACTAAAAAACGCACACACCCGCACTCACACTCACAGAAAAGGATACAGGATACGGCGAGCCACAAACAAAACTGCGAAAGTAGCAGCTAAGCCAGGCAGAGCCACACATACCGACGCAGCCAAACACATAGTGGCATACTCAAGAGAGTGTTGTGGGGGCGGCGACACGCCCACAGAAAGAGATAAAGTAAAGCAAAGCACTTTTGACTATTTCAACGTGGGGCTTTCGAAACTCAAGTCGAGCAGAAAAGTACACACACTTTCAAGTTCTGTGTGTTCCGCCGGCTGTGCAAGTCCAGGGCAAAGCAATATGCTGCGGATTATGCTGCTAGGGATTTTCGGGGGCATTAGGTTGGAAACACATTTGAAACACTGCCGCGCTGCAAAAAACAACAACAGCAACAACAACAACAACAACTCTTGAGAAAGGACCAAACATATTTTATTTAAAGTGACTGGCGCGGTGGCGACTGCCACTGCAACGGAACGTAATCCTTGCCAGGCAACAAAGGATGTGTTATATCTATATATGCAGGAGCGTATATATATGTGTGTGTGTGTGTGTATGTGTATCTTTGTGCTGGTGTTTGTGCGCGTGGTAAATTTTTGTATCGCAGCCAAGTGGCTGCCACAAGATTTCCACACAATTTAACTTGAAAACCATGTCAGCAAAGGTTGAACAAGCTGTATGTGTGTGCGGACGTGTGTGTCTGCGTGTGTCCGTGTGTGTGTGGGGCAAGCTTTCTTCTTATTGAGTTATTAGCCATACTATAAACAAGCGAAGCGTACTAATTTTAGTTTCTTTCACCATCCCCATACTCTCGCACTCTTCTAGGCAATATTATACCAACTTTACGCAACGATTCAACGAAATCGCTACAAACGGATGTTTACGCCATGAAAAACGATTTGTATGCTGGCAGTGGCTCATCGTCGGCGGGCTCCAGCTCATCCGCGGCCTCGTCCTCATCGATGCAAACATCCTTGCTGCCCGGTGGCGCCCCAGGCAATAGCCTATCAGCACTAAGCGGCGGCAGCAAGGGCTCCCTGGCGATAGGCAAGAGCATGTTCTACACGGAACGTCCACCGAACGAGTACGCAAGCTCCACCGGTAAGTGTGTCTGCTCCTTTAAATCTATAACTAACCTGTGATAACTTAACCCATCTACTTATATATAATATTTATATATCTTTTGCGTATTTGTGCTGCACATAGGTGGAGCTTTACGTAGGCTATGTTGGCTGGGCGTAGGATTAGCTCTGCTGTTTGCTGCGCTTTGAAATCAATAATTTGAGTCAAACTAAAATAAACGTAATAAAAAATGGCATTTGTAAAATGCAGCCAAAGGGGGGTACAGGGGGTAGCTTTTAGGTGTATTCATTTCACAGCTGAAGCAAACTGAAAACTGAAAACCAAAATGAATACTAATTATGTTAATAGCTACAATAATAATATAACTAACGAATAGCTCACATTTAATTGAATTTGTTTATGGTAAAATTAAACAAATTTGTTAAATGAAAATTGACAATGAAAATAAGCGACAAAAATTATTAAACATTTTTGCTGGCGTGTGTAGCAAACACAACAAATGCTCATTATATGTACAATATGAAAACGTATACATAAGAGACACACACACATACAGACAAACAGAAGACTAGTGAAGAAAAGTTATTTGTACAATACAAAAATATGCATGTTCGTGAGCATAAAAAAAAAAAAAATTAATTCATATAGAAATTTAGTTTATAATAAAATTGTTGAGCTTTTGTTTTTGCGTGTGTTCGCATGTGAGTTTCCTAGGGCTTAGCATTTGGTTTTTCTTAAATACACATGCAAAAATATTTAGCCAAAAAGCAAAGCTTTTCCATCGAGCATTATTCTAGACTTAAATAATATTTTTCTTTGGCCAGATGCTAAGTGAATTTTCAATGGAAATGAATATACACTTGGATTACAAATAATTTAAAATGAAAAACAAAAAGGATAATCGTTTAAAAAAGCGTTGCATATTGCATAAAATTGCATATCTTAAGCAAATAACAGAATTTATCATATCCCAAACGTAAACATATGATGGAAATACATATGAAAATTGTGTCTTTTGTTCGTTTTGAGTTCTTAAATAGAGTTTCTAGTAGCTTAAGTCATGCAATACAAATTGCTGCAGTTCATTTATTGGGGTCATCATTAATTGAACATTTATTTACCATTGAAATTTTAGTAAACAAAAGCTTTTCATTTACATATTTAACTTTTATACACTCTTGCATTACATTTATATTTTTGAGCACTTGATTTTTTGTTAAATTTAATTTTGGATTTCGATTCTATGTACTTCATATCCGGCGCTTTTGCAATATTTCGCAATATAAAAGAAATTGCAATTTCCAAAATGCAGAAATTTCATTGAGCTGCTTGAGGCTGGGCAACGCTCCCAGGGCGGCAGCAAGCTGTCTTTACAGTTGTTGCCATGTTTGGTCGTGGCAATAAAACGCCTTAAAAATGTCATTAATTTTTACATTGCACGCCCACCACCCAGCTCCTCTCGCACTCGGCGCTCCCTGCGCGCCGGGCACCAGCCAGAAAGAAATTGCAATAATAATATTCTGGCAACGTTCACGTGGCCATTGGCTTGATTTTACGTATTCGAGCAAATTGTTGCTTACTGGCTTCGGTGTCCACATCCGTGTTCCTCGTCCTCGTTCTCGTCCTCGCAGCGCTTTTGTGCGCTTTCATCATTTTTTAATAAATGCACATGCTAATTATATTATTACTCATACGACCCGTGGCACGACATTGGCCGTAACGCCGAGCGCCGAGCGCCGCACGCCGAGTGCCGAACACGCTGAAACGTTGTCTGCGCGAAATACTTGCAATTAATTTCAGCATAAAATTGCGTGGCCTGCGGTCTCCCTACCCCGCACAATGACACACAGTTAACATGTCCAATTTATTGGTCATAATTCATGCAGACCAATGACGAGGCCCCCAAAGGCGGTCCACAGGCGGGCCCCCCAGTCGAAACCAAGCGACTATCGACAGCAAGAAAAATGGTATTAAGGCCAGAAGATATATGGCACATTTGCATATATATATATAAATATATATACAAAAAATGGGCAAGAGTTCTTCTCTGTCTTTGTGTATGTGTGTGTGTGTTTATATGCGCACATACATATATGATATGTTGTTGTGTGTGAGCGGGGTTAAGGGGCTGCCAATTTACTGTATTTATGTCATGTGTGTTGTTGCCGTAACTATATATGGTTTTAATAATTTCAACCGTGTTGCATAAAGTGCGGCGTACAGTGCGTGGCAGCTGGCCAAGCGGCAGAGCACACATAGTTAACTGTTAACCGATGTTAACTGCAAAAGGACTCGCTGCAGCGCCTAGATAAATGAGTGTATTCAAAGTAATATATGAATAGTCAACATTGTTGCCGTCACAATGCAACAAAATTAATGCTTTTTATTTTATTTAATATTTTTATTGTATGCTTTTCGTGTGCTCATTGTGTGATTGTTATTATTGTTGTTGCTGTGGAGCAAATAAGGACATGCGCGTGTTGACTTACATGCATTGTCGCTTCTGCCATTATCTCGAACAATGCAGCTAATTAAGTATTATAAATGCAAACCGTAAGGCAGCACGCAGTGCCTGTCCCAAGGACATCCACGGAGCCAACATGCGCTTTAAATTTGCGTCATTTGAAGCTGAACTTATCTTCACTATATCATTTATTTCCATTTATTGCTTATGATTTATAAACGGGCATTCAAGTTTTTTTCTTTCTTGCATCTCATTTAACATTAACTTGGTTCATTTAACATTAACTGATCTGCGGCTATTGTTTTTTCCTTTCCGTTTTACTCAACAAATATGTAAATAAAAAAGTTCGTTTCATATAAAACTAAATTATTATATATACATATATTAGCCGCTGTACACTAAATTGCCTTTTTATGTAAATAGCTAATAACAATTATAAATAATTATTGCCACAATAAAATTCAATAACACAGCGCAATATAACTAAACAAAAAAAACGTATTCCATTTCAAAAAGCATAAATAACAAGTTTTGAAAACAAAAGCTGCAAAAGTTTAAAGTAAAGAGTATAAAGAAAAAAAAATACAAAAAAAAAAGAAAGAAAAAACTTGCAGTGCTCGTATTTAAGCCGATTTAACTATAAATAATTGATAGAAAAATTAAGTGAAAATAATTGTAATAAATTATAATATGCATATACATATATTCATAAATATATATATATATATAAATAATTATGTTGTTTGTTGCCTGTATTTAAAATTTAAGATGAAATATCAAATCAATAATAGTATTCTAAATGTCGCAGGCTCTGCAACGGAAAATTTCCTAATCATACAGAAAGCTGCAAAAAATATAAACTAATTATTTGTGCTAAGTAATTGGTTTATTGAAGCGGCAAGACACATAAACAATAACTAAATAAAAATGCATCAAAACTTATGGAAATTGATTTGTTAAGCAAACAATTTAACGTAATTTATAAAGTTAAAATTGTATCATAATTTATTGCGCAGCAGCAGAAAAGTATGCAACCAAAGTTGTTCTTTTGAATTTGCTTTACAATTTAAACTTTAATTAAATGCCATTATTTATTTATTGTTTTGCCAGCCGCTCAGTTAAGAAGCTAAGCTATTGTAATATAAACAAATTAACTACAAAGTAAAGAAAAGAAAAGAAAAAACATAAATAATAGCAAACACACAAAATATGTATTTAAGATTGACACTAATTGTAAGCAGTTATTATTACGCGAAAATAAGCATAATAAAACTTAGGTTGATTGATACCAAAGCAAAGGGGCGAGTAAACGGGAAATGCAAAGCAGAAAAACCAAAACCCAAAAAAAAAAACAAAATGCGAACAAAATGGAGAACAAAGTAACGAACATAAATAACTGTTGTTTTATTCAGCAATTTGCATCTAATTCAGCGCTCAATTACATGCGTCGACGTCAACGCCGGCGTCGCTGTCAGCGTCGTATTTATGCAAATGCCTTTGGCTTTGGCTTTTCGGCGGCTTTACGGTGGGGTTTTGACATTTGGCTCTTGCCGGCTTTTAGGCCAAAAACGTTAATGAGCGCGTTTATTTTACAGCAGAGCAACAACTGCATTAAAGTGTGTGTATGTGTGTGTATGAGTGTGTGGCTAAGTGTGTGTGTGGTTGCTAATTGTTTGCGACATGCAAACAAGTTTAACACAAAATATGCTAAACATTTGCGAAGCAAAGAAAACTGTTTAATAATTTAATGTTATTTGCATAGATTTGAGCTGACGCGTTGACGTTGCCCAATTAAGCTCGACACGCAGCACACTAAAGCGCCAAGCCAGCCAAACCACCCACACCACGCACCACTTCAGCAGCAAGCGCATAATTTGTTTGTTTTCATGATGGCCAGACGAACTTTTTGGCGACAAAACGTTTCACTCGGCACGCACACGCTGCGTATACGCAATGTGCTACAGCAGCAGCAGGCTGCTTGGCAGGCAGGCAAGCAGGCGAGCAGACAGCTTAAAGCCGTGCGCTTCAATTTGGTTAACAACTTTTGCCACAAGCATGTAAACCACTTGGGCGCACTAACATTATCATAATTATAACATATATAGACAGACACCGGACGGAGAGAGAGAGAGACAGACAGACAGCGGGGCGGACGAACACCTTTTGGTTATCTCGTGGTTGACGCTGGCGCCACTTGAGCAACTTTTCAAAAGTCATTTAAATTATGCGCACAAAAGCGCGAAAATGATGCCACAACGTGAATTCAGGCGCCACTTACAGCCAGCACACACACACATACACACAGAGAGAAAGCGTGGAAACACAAGCGGAAACCACATTTGTCGGCAAAGTTTTGCCTACAGCCGCTTCAGCATAGCGAAAATAGTTGAGTGCAAAGCGTGCGCACACTTAAGATAAGCTTCAAGCACAAAACTTTCATCTTACAAATTCGCGCAGCACCCAACCAACCCGTCGCACACTCTTCTTTCATCTACCCCCTCACCAAACGCATTCAACAAATTAATTCTGCGCCCATATCTGTCTGCCCCACTGTCGCCATGTCTGTTTGTCCCTGCTGCCATTCGTGCCGCTTTTGCAGCTGCAGGAAATATGTTTAATTTCATTTAAATGTAGTAAGTGCAACACTTTGGTTAGCTTTTGCCACGGCATGGCGTCTGCTTATGGATAGCTGCTGCATGCAGCCGGGGGTTGGGGTTTGGCGCTTCTGGTTTACATTCATGCGGGGCTGCTGCTGCTGCTCGCTTCGCTTCGTAGCGCTGAGCAAATGCAATGTTAAAATTCTGTGTGTGTTCTTTGCCAGATTTTACACATTTATTTGTGTAAATGAGTTACAGCTCAAAGGATGCATTTGGGTTTGGTTTTTGGTTAATGAGTGCGAATGGCATAAGCAGCTGCTTTGATCAAGCAGCTTTTATTATCATCCAACGGGAATAAATAATTTTAGCTGAACGAACTCTAAAACTGTCTTACTATCCAAATATATATCCATTTTCCTCTTCAGCTTAAAATAGAAAAATGCAAATGACAAAAAGACTTGCAGGATATTTGCAGGATCCGCTATGTCAATTGATTTTAAATTAAATCAAATCCCCAAAGAGTCAAAAGTCTTTTACAACTATCAAATAGGTCAAACCCCAACAGCTATTACCTAAACCATTTAATTCAAACGTTTGCATATTAGTTTTATGCACTTGAAATTTAATTTGTTGTACATTTTATTTGAATTTTTTAAACGCAGTTTTAAGCACTTGAAATTTAATTTAAATTCATTTTGCACTTAACTTTTTCCAATGCCAACATTATTATGAACATTCTATAAACCAAAATAAACTTATAAAAATGTTTGCAGCCCGAAGGGATTTGCGAAACTTTGTGTGCATTTTTTAAACAGACGACGCAAATTGTGGAGCAGTTAAATTTTTGTTGTTATTATTGCCACATGCAGCATGCAACACTACTTACATGTATTTTGCATACTATGTTGCCATTGTTGTTGTTGTTGTTGTTGTTGCACTTTGCCCTGTCAACGCCATAGAGTTTGTTGCCTTTATTTGTCGAAACTCATCTGTCAGTTTTACATAGTGCTCCCCAGAGAAATTTTATGTTTGTTGCATAAAAATTACATAGAGCATTGTTCGCTAGCGGACTTTGATGGCAAATGACTGCCCCACACACGATAACAAACACACTGAAGCAAAATTACGAGTGCAGAGTGTGTGTGTGTGTGTGTCTGTGTTTGAGGGTGTGTTGAGTGTTTCCATGTTTCTGGCATTTGTTAAAAACCAACGCAGCAGCTGTAAGTCACCGCAGGGACTCATTGATGTGACTGTGACAACAGCCGAGTTGAAGCTTTGCTGTCATTTTGAGGGGTGGGCGCTGCAACTATCTCATTTGCAACTTTATGCGGTCACTCGCTAAAATGCCACAAAACATCATTCAAATAGAGATACTTGAATAACTCAAAACGGGCAACCAGAGCGGTTATCTTTGGTATATCGTAGATACATATACATATATAAATACATATCATATTGCAATATCGACTCGGCTGTAAATATCGAACAACAATAAAGATAAATATAGTACATAGATACTTTGTGGAGTCTAATACATTATCTTGTTAAAAGTGATTATAGCTCCATCAAAATCTGCAATTATAATTTTTGAATGGAGGAGACAATTATTCTCGCGCTTTTTAATATAGCTGAAACAATACAGCTAAGGGCTTGGCCTATCCACACAGATAGACTGCTCCCCAAATAAAATTACCCATTATAAATGCTAAGCAACTGCGCGCAATACTTTCTCGAGTTTTTCACAAGCTGATCTCTTTAAACTGTTTGCAAGAGGTTACGAGTTCAAGCACAAGCAACATTTTGTAAGTGCATTTTACAGGAACGAGCTCTACTTCTTAACCATCGCAGCTATCAAGTGAATTTTATGAATGGCTTTCGTGCGGGTCTCGCTGTTTGCCACATTTTTGCCGTCGCGCATATTTGTTTGACTTTATTTTTTAATTTTCACAACTTTTGACAGCTTTGCAGTTGGTCACGTACAGGGGTGTCTGGACGTCTCCCAACGCACATTGGCTATGCCCGGCGTGTGTGTGCGTGTATGGATGGCCATTGGGCAGCTTTTGGCAAGCATCTGCGTTTGACGCACGTGCAGCTCATCCTTTTTTTTTTTTATTCAGTTCTCAAGCCAACCATCTGTCTGTTTCGTTGCCAATTTTAATCAAGTTTTCTCGGCTCTCTCTTCTATTTAATTGTCAATTTGGTCGGCGCATGTCTCTGCCGGCCTGATAAATTATATGTCGACCAAAACAAATACCACAAAGGCAAAAAATAAATAAAATGCAATCACAGACACGCACAGATACAGGCACACACATTAGACAAATCATCTTGGAACAGTATAAGTCATGCAGACACACACACACGCACGCACACAAAATGCATTTACGCAATGTCTATGTTTGACTAGAATTTACGAGTTGGAATATATATATACATATATATATATATACAAACCTTGGTTCGGCTTTTGGACAATTGGTGTGGGTGTCCAGTCAGGCGTTCTTATCTTTGCCTTGCAGCCCGGTTCAGTTATCTTTTCTTAATGATTCCATTGTCAAACTCATTGCTCCGGAAATTGTGTACACAATTTAAATATTCAACAGGATATTGCATGAAATATACGTAGACACACGCATACAGACACACACACACACACACACAAGACCCTAATGTCCAGAGCCAGTCCATTTGGCCAGTTGACCGGTCAACACTGCGGGCGAGAAAATCTTGTACGTAAATGTCCTTTAGTTTTTGTCCATGCTTGCACGGAGCATTTCCATTTTTGTGTTTCTTCTAATCTCCGATTTTGTGTCATTTCAAATATGTGTTAGAAATATTTTTACCTTGCTTGCCAAAATTATTTACAAATTTGATTTACATGAAATTTAGTTTGCTTGGCAAATTAGTTTATCAATTCTAGAGAGGATCTGTCGATTGCTTGACATGTTATATGAGGAGGTAGCAGACTTAATATGGAAAACAAATTTTTATTAAAACACTTAGTAATAGAAAGAAGCACTTACTTGACATAGCGTCTTTCTATGCGAGCTCATTAAATGAAGTAATGAAAAGGTAGGGAAACAGTGAAAAAGAAACAGAAAGAGAGAGATACAATAGAAATGCATAACAACAGACAGTTATAAAGAAAAAGACGAAGTGCTTTCTCTTTCTCCCTCTGTTTTTCTTTTACTATCAAATTGTGTGTTGAGCATTGATTATAAAAGGAATTGTATTGTCTTAGGCCTGTCACTTGGGGCACGCCAGCATGCTGGTCCAAGCACAAGTCCCAGTGAGACTGGTCGCCGCCGCCCTGAAGCCTGGCGAGTCGAGGGGCGTGCAACAGCGGCCCCGAACGCGTGTCAGTAACAAATGCCATTCATTTCCGATGCCAGGCTGCACGTCGCTGCGCCACAGTTGAGCTGGGTTGGAGCCGAGGGATGGGCCCGAACCAAACTTGGCGGCCTATAGCTACAAGTAGCCTGGTCAAAGTGTTGTGTCTTATTCTGTAGTAGCAGCAGCAGCTGCTATTGTTTATTATGTTTGGCCTGGGCTCCATTTGTAGCAGTGACTTTGACAAGTTTGCTGTTATAACATTAGTTTGTGTTAATCTTTTACTCGCTACGGTCACAAGGGAACCCAACCCGAAGCGCGCTGAACAATTGAAACGGGGCATAGATTTGATGGACTTGCGCATCAACTTTTCTAATGCAACTTGAAAACTTTTTGATAGCCAAACAAAAGCGAGGAAAGAGCAAGCAAATCACTTTATGTTGCCAGCGCTGCCACAGGATGCCTCGTAAACTTTTACGCGCTGAAAAAATGGGATGAGGCAGCTCGAGCTTGTGGACACGGCTGCGGCATTGTGGGGCGGGCAGTTAGGGGTTGTCTTGATTGTTGCGTTTCCATTTCATGGCGTTGCTCGGTTGCTGCTGTTGCAGGTTTTGGTTTGTCGCACAAACACTTTGCCCCAAAATAGCTTTTCATTGTCTGCTGCTGCTGTGCGTTGCGGCTGTTAGTTTGTTTAGGTCTGTCGGCAGGGGGGGGCAGCAACCGTGAGGCATACAAATGTCAATAAAATAAATACTGTTGACGCAGCGCGGTTATTTTCCAACACAATCTCCATTACAGCATTTACATTTGTATGTCTGGCTGTGTGTGTGCCTGCGTGTGTGTGTGTGTGTGCGTGTGTTTGCAGAACACGTCTGCCTCTTGGCCTGAGTAGCTGTATTTGACTTTAAGCGGCGTTAACGGCGACAAAGATAAAGACATGAAGCCAGACAGCTGATGAGAAGTGAGTGGATGAAGTCCTCCTGGTCCTCCTGCGTTGGATCTGCTGCCTGCCACTCGCAGATACGTAGCTCGGCAATTGACGGTCATTGTCATTAAGTCGCGCAGAATGAAGATGAGTTTTTCCCATTTTATTTGTACTTGTTGTCTTTTTTTTCACGCCTCGCTAGTCGTTTAGTTCATTCGCCTTATCACAGTGGGCGACAGGACTCGGCTATTAAGAAGAGTGCTGAATCAGTTTTGCTGGTCGCTCGAGTATTTAAGTAAATTTGACTAGGATTTCATCAGTGTCAAATCAAAACGCTTTTTTTTAAGAACTTCGCTTTCACCTAGAGCATAATGCGAGTATATTTGTGAACGGGAGCTCATATTAAAAACCAAACTCTTCAAGTATATGCCCTTTCCAATCTATAATCGAACATTTGGCCCGAGGTCAAGTTAATTTCTTTCTTTCTTCTTCTCCTATCACATATTTTGCTATTTTTCACAAACAATCCTCTAAAGCGTGCAGCATTCTACATAACTTGATATGTTACACAAGTGTTTCTATAGGTAACTTCTTAAACTGCGATCTGATGCTTGGGATTTCTTGATTGAAAACTAAACTAAACTTCTCTATAAACTTTGAACAAAGTCTGACATAGAACCTTTGGCAAATTGCCACATTCCACATTCCACATAAAGCGCTTAACGCAAGAGCTAAAACCACGCACTCATCCACGTGCCAGGCCACAGTGCTGCCCACTTTAGTTGGTTTATCTACTACTTTATTACTGTAAATCCTCAGATAATTTATTTGATTTGTACGCGTGTATGCCCCAGCATACCAGCTCTCGCACACGCACACGCACACACACACACACACAATCGCACAGTCGCACACAAACAACAATAGAAGCAACAGCTGCGCTTTTGGGTTTCTAGAGTTTCTCTGTTGGTTTCTCTGCTTATGTGGGTGCTGATTTGTATCTCTAGACTGTAAAGTGTATCGCATTACAATCAGATTAAGTTAAAGCCATCATATGTGTTTCCTTACGCCTCTGTCTGTGCGGATGTGTGCGTGTGTGGCACTTAAATTGAATTTAAAAGTTGTATCGAAACAAAATTGAAAACGAATTTGCCTGCCTAGCTTCAAGTTCAGTGCCCGGATTTGTATTTTAAGTAAATTAGTCGGCGCCCACGTAAGCTCCTTGCCCTTTAAGGTGCTGTAACCACTCTGCCGTCGCATAGATCGCATTTTAAATGCCTATAAATATTTATTTACATGCAAAAAAAAAGAGAGTGAGCACCGGACAGACAGACCCATGGTTGGCGGTTGCGGTTAACCCGCCAGACGCAAGCCCGCAACAGCTGAGCTCCGGCCCCCAACTCAAGCATAAGTGAAAATTTATGGCCGGGTCCTTGAGCAAGATATGCAATTGAGTATTCAGACAGACGGGACTCACATGTGTACATTTATATTCAAAAGGACACACGACCAGCAATTGATGAAGCGAGCATAAAAAACTGCTGCACAAATGTTGTAAATGCAAAAAGGATACAATTGTCTACGACTCAAAGTCTGTCTGGCCATGAGTGTGTTTGGCTAATGTGATAAATCAATTTTATGCGAAAATCTCAGTGCATAAATTCGCTTAACTAACGCATTTGTCAAGGCCACTGTGAGCAAGGCAAACGCATTAAATTGACAATAAATTGGCAAAAGCTGAGACAACTTTGTACACGTTTGCACAACCTTAAAGTAAACTTTCAAATGATTATTGGCTTCTACTGCCAATGAAATCAATCAATCTGTTGGAATGTTTGTGAGCTAGCAGCAGCTGACATGGCTCAAACGGAATTCTTAACAGTCTGTATTAATGCTGAGCAGTTGTTGCAATAAAAGCCATTGCAATTTTGTGGCTAAGCTTTAGCTTTCAAAAGTGTCCAATAACCGCACAGTTTACGACAGTTTTGTGACGGGGGGGATGTAACAAAGCGCATTGGGAAATCAAATCCTATAATAGTTGCTGCTGCTCATACAATGGCCTCGGCCCAGTGTTATTTGATTGTCATTGCCGCAGGGCCATTGTAGTTCTCTACAATCAAAAACCACAAAATTTCGGGATACCTTTCTTCTGCATCAGCAGCAGCAGCGGCAGCAGCAGCAGCAATACCGCAACTAAAATCGTGGCTGGGATTTGATTTTTCTTTTGTGCAGTTAGCACTACGAATAATGCCCTGCAATAGCTGACAGGCTTTATTTCTGTTTGCGTTTCGACGGCTGTTGACCAATTTGTAGACCATCATCAAGTGTGAAATTTCCAATTTCCGTCAGGACAAAATGTAGTGTGAGCGTGAGGACAGGCAGCCGCCCGTCGGTGCAGTCCGTGGGCCAGTTTACAATTGGTGGGCAGTTCGCCTCGATTCCCCTCTACTAGAAATGCAAATGCAACGTTTCGTTCTGCTGTTTGTGCAGAGTTTTATTTTTTTTTATAGTGACTGTGTTTGTGTGTGTGTGCGTGTGTATTTGCGCAATACAAATTGTGCACTCTGTAAAACGATCTGTTTGTAAAGCTAAGCGCGTGAAAATAAAAATGTTGCCTATTGTTGCAATTTGTTGCTGCTAAATAGGTATAAAGCTTTGCAATTAAGTCAAAAAGTATTTACACAGTTGAAGAGATTGTGGCCGAGTTAACAGTTTATAGATACACAGACCTATCGGCCCTTTGCCCTTTGCACTTTGCCCCTCCCCAAACAATTGGACTAATTACCCCAGCCTACAAGTGAATATTAAGCATTCCGCGCGAACACCTTGGCTCCACTTCAAAGCGGCAAAGTTTAATTGAATTTAATTAAAAGCCGACAAATTGATTTGACTAAAAGTTCAGCCTCTCATCTCCGAGAGATCATTAGCCAAAGGTCAAAGTCACGCTCAAAATGTCCGCTTGGCCCCGCTGCCCCAGCAAGCTGCACCTCAATTAATGGCGCTCAAGCGAAAGTTAATTTGAAGTGTTTGGTAAAAGATGTGCGTATCGTATCGTATCGACACGGCCCGGCCTACGCGACCTATAATTACACCTGTCCAAAGTTGCTATCCTAAGTATTTCTATTACTCGTTGCTGTTGGTTTGTTGTTGCTTTAATTTCACGTCTGATAAAACACAAAGATTGAGCTCAACTCGAGTTGAGCGCTGACTTAAATGTTCAAATGCGCCTTTAAGAATTTGCTTTTACATTTCCATGAATTTTATTTGCGTAGTTTCTTTTTATAGATTCATTATAAGTTGGGTCAGCTTTCGAGAGCTCCTCAATCAGTCAATATGTACTTATAGCACATTATCAGTGGCTGATTATATTGTGTGTGTGCCCTTTTAAAGCCGCAAAAAGGGGCATTGCCAGACATTCAATGGAAATAAAATAAAATAAATAGCGGGCTCTGTTTTTTTTTTTCTGTTCCTCCGTAGCAGACATTCAACTAAAATAAAAACCATAAATGGACCCCATGCAACCCGCTCCGTTGCGCAGTCGGGCAATCAAACAGAAAGGCTGCTGCTTTATTTCCAATGTCTATGCGAATGTCTGTGTGGGTTTATGTGTGTCTGCGTTACAGCAAAATGGCTGCCGGTTAAATTGGCAACACTTTATCAAAAAATATAAAAAGCACTAAAAGTCAAAACGC